CACCGTGGGACAGCGCGGTGATCCACTGGTGAGCGTGGCTGAGCGGGTGCCCGTTGCTCTGCAGCGCGCCGTAGTCGCCCTGCACCAGGCTCTGTGCCTCGCGGTACCCCCCTGCTCCCTGCTGCATGCCTCCTGGCGGCTCGGCGTGCACGATGGAGGCGCTGGAGGTGAGCAGGCTGTAGTGGTTAGACGCTGCGGTCGCCATGACTCTCGGAGCCGGACTGAGCGCGCCGGTTAAAGGAGCCGCGCATTTGACAGTTACTTTTTCGCCTTGGGCTCCCTCTCCTCGCTCGCTCTCTTTCTTTCTCTGCGCGCTCTCTCTCTCCCCAGCGGGCAGCTCCGACGCCCGCTCCGACGCCTTCTGTTGCTGCTCCTGCTATTGCTGCCGCCGCCGCCTCCCGCCGCCCGCCGTCGCTCTCTTTCTCTTCTCTCCCTCCTCGCTCTCGCTCACTCTGTGACTCGCTCTGCGCTCCCCCCTCTCCCGGCTCTCTCCAGCTCTCTCCCGCTCTCTTGGCAGCTCAAGCTCACAGCGGCACGCGCCTGGGCCCCGCCCCCTCCGCCCCCTCCCATTGGCTCCGCGCCCTTTGATTTACGTGGATACCGCTAGCAACCTCCCAGGCCGGCGCCACTGATTGGTGCAGAGCTGCCTCCTCCTTCTCCCCTCTGGGCAGTGAGCGCTCCTAGCCCCCCTCGCGGTCCCCCTCGCCTCCTGATTCAGATTCTCTGTGTCCTCACGGCCCCCCCTTGCCCTCCTCCCCGGGCCTCCTCCGCCCATCTCTGGTGGGTCCCGCCCCCCATCTGTCTCTCAAGCAGAGGAGCCAGGCAGGGGGCGGCCCCAGAGCTCTTATCGACTACCGCCACTTGGAGGATTTCGAAGGGGGTGTTGTCCACCTTCTCCACCACACAGGGCGTGTAGGGGCGCTGGGCGGGGGCGGTGAGAGGGAGCCAGAGAAAAGCGGGAGCACACCAAGCCAGCAGGAGTCCTTTCCTCTGGACACACACACACACACACACACACACACACACGTCTCAAACCTAGAGCCAGGAGCAAGGCTGGTCCCTGGCTGTAGCCTTCTTTCTCCTAGGATTAGAATTGCACTGCCCAGGTTCCTCCTCTTCCATGGTGTGCGGACTCTGGCCCAAGTAGTGTCCCTCCCACCCCTGTAGCCTACAGCTAGCACAGGTTGTCCCCTTTTTAGGTTCCAGCTCCTCAGCGAAAGAACCCCGCCGGAGGCAGGTGCCAAGGCTAGTGAGTAGCTCCGGTTAACGACGCGGAGTTCCCTGCTCAGATGGCGCACTGGTCTGGACTTAAATCAAAACCAACTCTCAAAGTCTCTGGGTCAGATTCACACACTCTGGCGCGCCGCGCAGTTTGTTTGTTTGTTTGTTTGCTGCGACTACTAGAAACGGCGCAGGCGGATCTGCGCCCGCGGCGAGGCCGCAGAAGCGGCGGCTAGGGGCGTGCTGCCTCCGGGTGAGGCGGAGGCGCGCGAAAGCCGACCGCGGGGGCTGCTTCTTGAGCCCTCTTCCGCTCTCCCGGAGCTTTTCCTTGCAACTTTTCCTGTCGCCGTTTTTATACGGAAGGAAAAGAGTGTGAGTCGAAAAGGGCTGATGCTGGGGGACCTTTCTAAACAGTCACTTCTGGCGGTGCCAGCGGGTGGAGTTGGTCTCCATTAGGTCTTGGCCATTGGCTGGTCAAGGTCCCAGCTCAACCTTCAGCCCTAAACTCCCCAAACCGTGCAGCCGGCCGCGCGGCGCCCAGGACAGGAGCAGGTGTCTGCTGCTGCGTTCAGAGCCCGGGAGGACAGACTCCGGCGCGGCCGAGACCAGCGTGGGGGTGGGGGCCGCTCCGCCGGGCAGGGAGCGTGGCGTGGGTACCGCAAAACGAAGGGAAAAAGTTGCAGCCCGGAAGGGAAAGACCCCAGGGAATGAGAAGCGCTCGGGCATCTCCCGCCCTGTCCCCCCCCGTGCGATGTGGCGCTGGCACTGCTGGCGGCCATTGGGCTTGTGAGCGAAGCCAAATGAACACTCAAGGGGAACACTTTGGGGCCTCGGAGAATCTTAATCGAGACAGCCGAGTCGAGCGGGCCCGAGAATTCATCATGACTAACGAGGAGCGGAGCTCTTCGGGGAGTGGCTGAGCTGTTTATAAATCACCGCGGTGAGCACACCCGCGCCGGCAAGGAGCTTGGGCTGAGCATTTCCACGTGTCCTGTGTTTATGAGCGTTGGTGTGGGAGAGATGGAAGCGGCTAGGGGAGGGGCGAGGCACAGGCCGCGGGCGGGACGGACTCGCAAACACCCGCCCCGCTCCGTGCGCGCACCCGCGCGGCGAGGCGAAGACACACTCAGCATGGCGCTCGGTCCCACGCAAGCGCGGAGCAGCTCGAGCCGCGCGCCTAGGGGGCTGCTAAGAATTTTGAAATTTGCCCCGCTAGGGGAAAAAATAAAATGGAAAAAGTCTGAGCCTAGGAGCGCACAGACTCGGAGCCTGGAGCCGAGGCGCCTTTGCACGGAGCGAAGTGGCTGGGCCACCACTGCCTAGATGCGTTCTCAGTCCCCCACGTTGGGGCGCGGCTTTCTGCGAGACCTTGGGGAGCGCGCCGACCGATCGCCCCCCTTTCTGGATCGCCGAGTCCCTTCACTTCCCCCACCCTCGGCTCCAGGCCCGGCGGGAGCTCAGCGTTCCTGCAGACCGGAGAATTCGGCTGCCGGGGAGGGCAGCGTCTGGCTTCAAAGTTGCCTTGCCATGCTCCCTGCGTTGCAAAACCGAGCCTTTTCCAGTTGTTGGAGGCCTGGGGAGCTGTGGGAGGAGGACCAGCGTAGGCTGCACGTGTCCTTTAAAACTTCCTGTTTGGGATAATACTTCGAGGGAGGTAACTGCTCCCAGATCCAGCCCACATTGACGTCCCAGATCACCACTCCAGATGCCATCCCTCACCCCGCCTCATTTCACCAGCGGGTGAAGGGGCCGAAAAGTTCTTAAGGAGAAACCAGGCAGTTCTATTGGGTTAATACACCCAATAAATACCAGGGAGAACACAAAGCAGTTCCCTCCAACCTGGGCCTCCGAAGAAGCTCTCCCCTCCTACGTCCCGCGCAGAACCAATGGAGGACCCAGCTCTGGCAGCTGGGCGCGCACAGCTGCCCTATCAAGACCCCCCTCCGCCCCTCCCCTCCGGTCGCTGGGGGTCCGGTTGGCGCGAACGCCAGGTCTGGAGCTGCCTTCCCACCAGGCGCCTTGCAGGGACTCCAGAAACCTGGGCTACTGTCGGTTTTAGCTGCAGACTGGGACCTCTCCTCTCTTCCTCCCAGCCCAGGTCCTGGGCACCTTCCTTTGGGGCTGACCCCTCCCCCCGCGCCAGGGTAGAGTGCGGTGTACCTTTCCTGGGTTTCTCCGCCTGCATAAAAGCGCGTTGAAGGTGTCTGCAGCAGCCACCTCCAGGTTTTGATTCAGCTCATTCTCTTTTACTGTTCAAAGCAGCTGTTCAAATACAGAGGCTGCTAACGTTGACGTGGAGAGGATTTCAAACAACCTTAAAATGCTTTGAACTGACAAGGTGTCTTGATATCTCCCGCACAGCTCCCGCGATCACTCGTTAGGACAATGGTTGATTCGGAGGTTTGTGCGGGCCTCGCCACCCGGGCGCGGACTGAGGGTTGCCCAAGCCACTAGGGTGAAGGCTGGCCTCAGCGCTGGCTGGAGGCACCCTGTAGGGGGTCCGGGCTCCAGCGCTAGCCCTGCCCACTCCCCTGGGTCCCTAGGAGAGCTCTACCCTGGAGGCCGTCCAGAGCTGAAAGGCTGATCTGAAGAAGTGGTGCGGAATCCTTCCTGCTGGGCTAAGCTGAGCGCCGAGGCAATGGCATAACCTAAAGAGAAAAGACGCTGAGTTCACCCAGCAAGCTTTAGCCCTCCCGGAGAGCAAGACAAGCTGTATCCCAGCATCCCCAGCAATCAAGATCCAAACTCCCTAGGTCTCCACCCCGGTAACAGTTGGAGAACCAGCTCACAAACTAACTTGAACTCGAATCTATTAACTCCTTCATCTAGCAAATACACTCAGTCCCCATATCTAATAGCATTTATATTTTAATTCTGGTAGTTAGAAAAAAACACTCCCCAAATCATGCCTATACTTTAAGCTGGAAGTACACTTTTACAACAGAGAAATGTTATTTATTTGATAAGATTTTATTTATTTGTTGGCTCTCTATTTAATGCATGTGGTTCTAGGATCAAGGAGATCAGGAAACAATGGGAGCTCTCTTTGGGGGGGGGGCGTTGAAAGATTTAAACTTAGGTCAAATTGCTGTGCCCTTTCTTTTTTTAACAAGGACCTACCTAAGGTTTCCTCCTTGGAGGAGAATTGTTTGGATCTCCGTTCTCTTTTATGCGAACGGATAACACCCCAGTCATCCAGCAAGCTTTCTTTCTGCTCTCCTGCTACCTCCCCGCGAGTTTTTTTATTTGGTGCAGAGTCCCTCATGTCTGAATGGAACTTTTTTTTTTTTTTTTGCTAGGGGCCTACAGAATGACAAAACTGAGGCCCCGAATTCAGAGCTGTAGCTTTAAGCAGCCAATCCACACAAAGAGGCAGCTGGCTGCTTTAATGAAATACGCCTTAAAGATTCAAAAACTGCACGCTCAGGGATATATTTACAAGAAGCATGGGAAATAGCACTTTCAAGGTGCCAGTGTTTGAGAGATACAAGGAAGTTTTGTCTTAAAAAAGGTACAGAAATCAGTATATTTATGTGAAGCTCATGCATATTGTGAGATAAAAATCACACACACGTTCTTATGTCTGCATCTGTCTCCATGCTACCTCATTTGTCCCGAAGAAGGGAAAGTGTCCTGAAAGTTAAAACTGACATTCTTCATATGTTTAGTGTCTCTGTGTTTGTCCACATATAGACTATTCTCATTTTACTTTTACTACTCATCAAGCCAGTGAGATGTGGCATCTTAAATTCAGTATTTCAAATGCAATTATTTGAATTTGTAGATGTTAATCTCTTGCCCCTTTCTTCAATTCTGAATCTCATCATTAAACAGTCTCCCTCCCCCTCCTTTGTAGTCTGCCAGTGAATATTTTACAGACAGGAAGGCTTGAAGAGTTCTAAGACCATGTCACCCAGGCAGCCTAGCTGTTTGGGGGATTACTTTGAGTAATGTATCCAAAGCAGTCTGCTAAATTCTGAGTGGTAATGGTGAGGCCTTAGTGTAAAGGACAGATTCTATCAGTGGGCAAGATAAATTCTACTTGGAGTTAAAACAACTTGTTTATACTGAAAGCTCAGAACCGGAACAAGATGCAGTTACTGGCTCAGAATTAGCTTTCCTATGATTTCATTTTCAAAGGACTAACAGTTAAATGACCTCTTAACAATGAAACCTAAAAATACATCCTCC